GAAAAGCTGAAAAAGAATTGTAGTCAGTTGGTAATAAAATGGCAGATGAAATTTAAATGCATTAATTTACACATTAAAGGATCTATGGGAAAGAACAAGGCAAACATATCTTCCTGTAAAAAATTACAGCCTTTAAACCAACCATATCCACCTACAGAGCAATCTCAGAGTTAATGACAGAGTTTAATGACCACAGACCAAGAAAGCAAATAAAGTATTGGGAATTATTGGGAAATAAATTTATGCAGGCACATATATCTATGATACAGCCACATCTTAAGTGCTGTGTTCTGGTTTCCTCCTTTCAAAAAAAGAGACAGGAATCAGGATTGGAAAAATGTTATGAGAAAAGCAACGTGGATACACCATGGCATGGAACAGTCTCTCTATCAGAAAGGGCTATGTAAGCAAGGATTCCTCAGCATGGAAAAGAGTTAACTTGAAGAGAGTAGGTTAAACACTTAGAAAATCGAGGGAGGTGTGAAATGAACAGTGGGCTTCACCACATTTGCAATAGAAGAACCAGAAGGCATCAAATAAAGACAGTAAAGGCAAAATTCAAAATAGGCAAAAGGAATTGTTTGCTATGCAACTCCTTGTCAATGGATCTATAACACATTAAAAGTTTATATGGGGTAGAAGAGCAACTGTAGAATTTCATAGAAAAGAAGTCAGCTGAGGTTTATTTCATACACAGCTGGCTGAGGGTGTTTCCAAACTGGAAAGAGTTGGGGGTTTGGTAAGTACACACAGGAAGTATCATAAAAGCCTGCTCCATTTTTACTGTTCTCCAGACATCTGAATCTCACCATTGCTGAGTATCAAGAGCAGACTGGATGAACTGCTCATGTGATCCAATGTAATTATCATTTTGCTGAATAGGCAATTACTACATCCAGTGATGTCAGATTCTTAAAAAAATGCTTCCCAATTTCAAAATTAGGAACACTAAAGTGTAAGGGGATCTTTCTATACAACAGGCATAAGATTGCTCCTATACAAATTTTAGTATCACACCCTGTGTTTGTGCTCTTAGGATTGAAAACAGACTCCTAACTGATAAAACATTACACAGAAGCTGGCAGGGCCCCAAAATGCCACCTAAGCTCAGGTAGTGCCTGACTTATTGACAGAAGCTACTGTCCTATTTAGGCAATGTCTCTGTTCCAAAAGCACAGCCTGCTTGTGACTTGTGACATTAACCACAGCTTGAGAAAGTCACTCTTGTTGCAGTTTATCTGGAAAGCTTAGAGATGATAATGATGTGGGGAAGTGGAACAGAACCCTGCTAGAAGATCTCTTGAGATGGGCAAAAGTCTACAAGGCTGACTAGAAGCAGAATCATTCAAAGCTTATCCTGTAAGACAGAGGAATTACACAAACATTTCTGACAGTTTTGACAGCATGTGGCAACCACCAAGGATTTTTTTTGTTACTCCACACAAGTAAGGTCCAAAGCCAACCATGAATGCATACTTCAGATGTGTGTAAAAGCCCAATTGACTTCCCCAGTCCTGCCCTGAAGATTCAGCTTTTCCAGCCTTCTGTATTCCCCACCTAAGACTATGACAAGTCTTTATTATCAAGTCTTGCCAACTGAATTTCCTCAAAAGTCTGCCTCCTTCACCCAAGAGAGAAAATGAGCTGACACAAAAAAGGGAAAAGAGTTATAACTGCAGTGTGGAGCAAAGAACAGAGACTATTTGGGTTGCAACTGTGGAATTCAGTGTGTGGTGTGGGTGCAAGTCATTGAGCCTATTTCCAGTGCTCCCATTTTTACTTTCACAGTACTTAATAATTATCTTTAAAGTCACAATTATGACAGCCCTTGAGAAAGTCTGAATGCCAGTCTTCCTCTATTTCTTCCCCTGTGTTTCTTGCTGCTATGACTGCCAGTAAAAAGCCTGATCCCACTAAATCTGCAACCTGAGAACAGAAAAACACACACACACACTTCTTCACATATCACTTTTTAGTCTTGAAGATTCTTAATGATTTTATAATGATGATTTTTCCTTCTCTTTGATTCTTCCCACAGCAGACAATTTTACTCACACTGCTGTTACTTCATTTATTTTCAACACATACCAGCTCATACTGTAACTCATTAGCTGTCAGCATTTAAAAAAAAAAGATTAGCAGTGCCAACTACACCTCAGGAAAAACATTTGCACTCCACACAGCTCAAGTGTTTATTACATACTACAGAAAAAGTGATGCATTACATTATCTATGTTCTTTTTGTTTCTGCAGGGCTTCACTAAGCTGACAACTGACAATTGCATGCTTGTTTCAAAACTGCAGTAAGACATAATTATTCTGAAGACACTGCATATATAATCAACACAATGTAATAGTGGTTTTTTCTATACAAAACACAAGCTACTTCTTTACTCATTTGTATTTTGATGAAACAACTGACAATTTAACACAAAATGCAATGCTAACCTTGTGAAGAAAGATGTATTTTAGGACCACTTAATAGCCAAAAGAGAAGCTAAATTATGAATACTAAATAATAATAATTTGAGGTAGATATGAACCTACAATTCATTATGACACAAAGCTATTATCTCAGGAACCTAGAAAAGCTACCCTTAAAATGACAGATTAAGTTTAGGAGAAAGGTGTTACTTAATTAAAGATCCTTAATCTCGGTTCCATAATTTGTTGAGTTTTTAATTCAATGGTCGTAAGGAAGAACAACTATAAATCTAGGAAAATATAATGCCTTTGACATTTTTCATGTTATTTACATAGCATTTACATAGTATTTTACTAAAGTGTCTCTGAAGACTAAGCTATGCAAGAGCAGTCTGAACCTAGAAATACTCAGATATGCTACAGCAGATATTTAGAAGAGAAACAACTTAATCTTTGTTCCTCTTCCATGTACATTATCATAGAAAACAGGGATGCTGGTAAACAGGAAAGGAACAAATTATTTTTGTATTTGGCAGGAGAAAGAATATTGTTCAGTATAGCAAATCCAGCAACCTTCATTAACTCCCTTCAATGATAGCAACCCAAAAGACCTCCTTCCAACAAATCCCCAAGAATTACTAACCCTGGGATAAACTGAATAGGATAACTAAATTATCTCAAACTAGATTAGATGCTGACCAGCCAAGAAAGTTCCTTACTTTTAAGACGGATCTTAATGTAATTTAATATTCTCTGTTTTGAAACCTTGTTCCACATTTGAACATCTATGCTTCAGGTAAAAATTATTTTCTTCTTAAAACTTACCTGGCAATAGGGCTGAGTAATTTGCCCTACACAGGGCACTCCAATCTTACCAATGCATCAATCCGTAAAACTGGGATCCTGCACCGAGCTCTGAGTTTTATCTTCAGTAAATGTAAGAAAGATCACTGTGATACAGCAGGACAAGAGAGCAACACCCTTGGAGTTCTAATAAAGTTGGCAGCAACTATACTCAGAATTTTACTTCATGATACAAGGCATTTTGACAAAGTCTAAACATTTATTTCTACATGAACATCCCAAATGCAGTACTGCAGGCATGTGGTTTTCTCTGGTAAAGGAGAGATACATTTTGATATTTTATGCAGTTAGAGAGTATGGGAAGATGACTAAGGTTAAGAAGATAATGGTATGGAAGTCACAGGGAAAAACACAGTTGTACTCCCTGGATGAAACATAGTCAGCATATCTGACCTCCCACACACTAAGGGGGACCCAAAGGAGGGTGGAGCAGAGTGGAGACACCATGGCCAGCCACTGTGTTGAAACCCTTGCAGAGGAAGGAACTCAGTGGTACCTTCTAGTTGAAGGTAGCCCCATAGCAGCTGAAAACCAAGGGAGATAAAGGAAAATGTCCTGCTCTTGAATCAGCAACTGTTGTGAAATCATTCTGCTTGGACTAATGCATGTCCCCATCCCAAGGTTATCTCGGGTACTATCCTGAGATATCCACCCCCAGTACAACCACCTCTCACTGACTAAGAGGTATGACCAAAGCCACTCAAGTTCCACCTAAACATAAAGAAATAGTATAAAAATGAGTTAAGAATGGGGAGAAATGGGGTTACAGTTACTCCACTGTAACTTCTGGGATTAGTCGACAAGCTGAATCTGTCTTCTCCCTTGTAGGGACACCTACTGTGTAAGAAATGTGATCTCTACATGCTGAATGATTGTCTCAGACCAGCTATTATTATTATTATTATCATTAATATTATTATTATATTATAGAGCTTGTTAGTACATTGCTTTAAATTAGTATATTGATTTGAGTATGTTTTTTGCAGTCTGTTACTACCACTGGCAAGTCTCAAACCTTAACCTTTCACAATTCTATTAATGGAGAGTGTCAGTCTGCAAACTGTTAATGCGAGTCCTCCAAGGGCACTGCCCTCTGCCCACAGTGGGTAAAGGAGGAGGAGGTTCCTCTGCCAGGTATGTGACACTGAATAAATCAGTGGAACAGATCCAGTGGGACTGCCTAGTGAAGGGTCTCATAATGGGATACTGATAGATTGGTTGGGCACAAGGGTCACAGCTTTCCTGGGGCTCTGACAGACTAATTAAACACAAAGGGGTTGAGCAAATTTCCCCGTTTTACATGACAGCAAGGAACATATTTTCCTCTGCTTTCACATTGCTTAGCTCTAAAAAAGTCACACTTCTTTTGCAGCTGAGGAGGACAGGAGGAAGCCCAGCAATTTCCAACAATTAAATAGTCAAATAGATTTTTGCTTTGAAAAATATTTCTTAAAACTAGGAAAAAAATAGGTACTCAAAGGACTGATTCTACACATGGATAGACAAGTTAATCAACTGTCCACTGTATTGCTTTGAATTTCTAATCTAAATTATTTCATCACAATTATTTACTATTTAGAAATGCTGTCAACCATTTAAAATTTTTATTTGGTAAATGCATAAAAGTAGGACACTGAAAACAAGCTGATACACAATAATACACAGACACATCAGAGGATTAATATATAAAAATCAAGAGATGAAAAACTGACCTGCTGCTTCTGGTATTTGTTTAGCAGGGCTAAAAATACAATGTAACATCTGGAGCAGTCTGCTAAAGCTGCACAGAAGTCATTGTAGGTAGAAAGTTTGCTATAAAGAAAAAAAAAATAGAAATTAAAAAAAGAACTTTTTTCCACAAAACATTTTTTAGAAAGTCACTTTTGATTCTCAGAGCTGTATTTTCCAACAAATGAAGTGAATGCCAATACTCTGACTTCTAGCAGAGGCATGTGCAGTTATATAAGAGCACAACAGAAGCCCAGCTATCCTTGGCACAGTGCATTACTGGAAGAAGCAAACATAAGGAGCTTTCCAACCTGCTTGCCATATGGGCACAGTATGCTAACACCAGCACTTCTCAGTGCTAAAGGGGAGAACTGGAATTTCAAGATGATGTGTGAAGTCAGACGAGAGGAAACGAGGGGTCCCTTCCTAGTGCACATCTAGTAGAGCCCAGCAACAGCACTAAGAGACATCTCTCACCAGCAAATACAGAGACTGTGCCTCCTTGCAGGCAGGATTTATCTCTGCACATTTCCTAACAGCTGCTCCTACACTGCTCACCTTGCCCATTGCCATGCTTTGGTCACACCATAAAAATGCAGTAACAGAACAAGCTAGGATAACATCTTACTTCTCATGTAGTCAAAACCACAAAAGATCTGTGTTGATGTTCAATTACAACTTCTTACAGGAAGATTTACAGTCTTATTGAATGAATAATCTGAATAGATTGAACACATTCTCTATGAAGAAGCTGCCTAAAGTTGATTGAGAGATTAATCATTCTGTATTACTAGAAGACAAAACAAAATTAAAATCTGAGCTCTTTCCTGCATAGTGTGTGTATATATATATATATATGTATATATATTTTTATATTTTTTTTTGCTACTGCAATTTCCAGGAAGCTAATTAAATTGATTTCTATGGCTAATTTGTATTCTTGGATCATGTAGTTCTAATCTTGAGGAAAAAAATTGAAGCAGCAGGAAACTTTAAGTAAGGTATTTTTTCTCCATATTGAATTCTATAACAAGTAAATGTCCTTATCAGAATTACAGTATAAGTATCAATTACACTTAATTACAAACTCATTATCCCACTTTTCATGGCATTTTCCAAGTAAAAGAAATGCTCCCTCCTCAGAAGAAGTAAATATGCTCAAAGTGCTATAATCATTGCAAGAGCTCATTTTTAGGAACAAAACTAGAGAGACAGATGTGAACAAGGTAGCATGGAATTGAGGAAGCCATTCACATGCCTTAGGGATAGCACAAAGAGCAAAGGAGCACATTTGCCTGCTTTCAGCTGTGGGGAGGAAGGAGTACCAGCCTCTTATGTTGCCACTGTTCAAAGCACAACTCAGCCTCATCCAGAGAGGAGAACATGAGGGATAATTTGGAGCACCTGAACAGCAGAAGCCCATAACAAAATCTCATTGAACATGGAGCCACAGGCAACATGACTCAGTGCAGTAACAAAGCAGCAATGGCAAATACTTCATCCAGCACATAATTCATAAATTGCATTTATAATCCCATTATTCCTGAAATTACCAACAGCCGATTTCACAACTTCTTCCAAATCCTTACATTGTTTGCAAGCCAATGCTTGGTAACTGGAAGACTTTTGACTGAGCAACTATTCAGACTACAAAATGATCTTTGTGCTGACTAATTCACACTGATCTCCCTCTAAAAAGCACTACTTGGGAAGCAGCCGTCGGCTGCTCATAAAACTGAGATTCTTTCAGCACTTCCATCTGCATACTCAAGCCCTGATCCCTGGGATTAATCTCCTCAAACACTCTGTAATTGCTCAAAACAATGAACACTGGTCACATTTTCCCTCTTGTGTATTTTATTTCACAATACACAGTTCCTTGTGTAATTTCTCTCATTAATTTTTTTTTCAAACATGGCCTAAACCAGGATTAATAAATACCTAATAAATGGTGCAGCTTTAAAACACAAGAAACGGCACTTTAAAAAAACTCAATCAGGATCGGTGGGATCAAAGAATGACACAATACAACAAAATATTTTTCATGGGGATGATGAATCCAAGTCTGTATGGCTACAATTACACAATTCCGTAAGCAATAATAGAGACACAATTAACATACAATATCATTAAAAGATATCGTCATTAAAAGAGCTTTTTAAAAAAGAGTTCAGTAAGTAAATCTTCCAATCTCAGCGCTTGGTCCTGCCTCCTTCGAGGGAGGGGGACGTGGCAGCACACAGCACTGCGTTCTCACGTACCTGAGGACGCTGACAATCCAGATGCTCACGTCCTTGTCGCTGCTGCGCTGCTCCAGCGCCACGCAGAGCTGGGGGATGGCAGCGCTGGGGCTGAGCTGGCGGCGCGCCGGGGCGCAGTTGGCCAGGATCCGCAGGGTGGCCGTCAGCTGCACACGGGGGTGGGACACTCATTAACCACCGCTGGCACAGCACGGCTCAGGTCTCAGTGACAGCACCTAGAGCAGCCTGCGTGCCTGTTAACACTCTGCAGCTAGGTATAAACCAATAAATAACACAGGAAACGTGCAGGCGGCAAGATGGTGGGTTTGGGATAACCGAAAATGCAAGATTGACACTGGTCCTTGCCTGCATGTAACCTCCTTCTATGAGGACACATGATCTTTCATGCTTTAAAATCCTGCATGTATACAGCCATGTACCAAGTGAAATGCTGTGGATGTTTAAAGTAATTTTTTGCGTAATTCTTCAATAAATCTTTATATTTAAATCTTGAAAATATAATATATACTTTGATGATAACTGCAAATGGCAAACTAAAATGAATTGCTTTTAAAACACAATCAGATTTATTCCAATTAAAAAATTAAAAGTTAATCATGATAAAAGAAATCCACTGTATGAACAAAATAAAAATGAAAAGCTTAAGTGCTCAGGTCTATTTGAAGAAACCAAAATATTTTCAGATGATACTGTTCTATTTCAAGGAACTTAAAGCATAATCTAACTCTGGCAGATGAACAAATGCATCACCTATTGCATATTTTGAAATATTCTGATTCTCTTCCAAGGCAAGAGCATTCAAATGACAAGGTCAGACAGGCCGTGACATTTAAGTTAATTTTGATCTAATCCAGAATTTACTACAAAATGAATATGAAGTCATTCAATCTTATGTGGATATGGGAATTCTTCAAAGTTTTCTTATTCAGAGTGAAGTTATTAACTTCAATTTGGTTTTGAATGGAGTTTGATAAGGCACAAAAACTATCTGTTCAAATTGTTTCTTACCACAAAAAACTCTGGAAATTAAGCAATTTATCACTAAATTGGATTGCTTATCCAATGATATGTAATTGCTAATTTTAAAGAAAAACTCTTGACAAAGAGCAGGTTAAGATGTTGTGTTCCAGCTTTTGCACATAGGACTCTATGCATATTCTGTCCATTCTCCAGCAGCTTCCAGATCTGCTGTCCTACTTCAACAAATTTGACAGCAGAGAACAAATCTTCAGCAAACCCATGATGCTCTGTAATGGAGCAACTGGAGGTGCAACATGTCAAAATGAAGAAGCAAGGCATAGAGGGAAAAAATATGTGGTCATGTAGTATGTGAATGGATTTAACTTCAGCACTAAAAATGCAATTTTTACTATATTCATAATACAGAGAATCTGAACCTACAGAAACCATTTGCTTCATATCACTCATATTTTAAGAAGACACCTTGGACTTTTTATTATTTTAACTGAACAACTGCAAAAAAAATTTCCAGATGCATATTCCTTCTCAAGTCATGATGCTTCAAAAATCAACACAATACTGGTGATACATTTTAATAAATATATTCTGATCAAATAGTTTGCTTTTCAAAAGTTGTGTTAGAAAAATTCTTGTCACATGGAATAGAGACAGGTGACTCCATTTAGTGCTTACATACAAGATGTTCACAGTCAGCCTAGGATGATATGTTTTGAATTCTAGCTAAGTAAGCTTCAATTGACACAATAAAGAAAATTAAGGATAAGCCACATATTAGAAGTGTTGTTCAAACGCAGACAAGAGCTTTCACTGCAGCAAAGAGACTTACATATTGGATAATGGGGAAAAAAATCAATAGATGATGGTACAGAGGTCTCCAAAAAGAGAGTAAGATTTTCCAATGCTTGATACAGTTAGATGGTTCAAAATCCTCAAGCAGTAAATTCTATCAAGAGCAACCTTCAGACAAAGACAGATTGGAAAGGAAAAGCAATGCAAAATAATATATACACTTAAATGTGCAAGAAAACAGCATTTGGCACTTCACAGAAGTATATATCCATAAAACACAGTTAATGTGCAACTGAAACTTGAAGAGTTTGAAAAATAATAGAAGCTAGCCAGACAGCAGCTCAATTCTAGAAATACTGTGATTGCTTCAAGCAGACCCCATGTTTCAGGGAGAAATACATAACAATTATCTTTAGCAACCCCCACCAGTCCTAATCCTTACGTTGCCATATGAAAGATCAAATTCACCCAAACAGAAAATTTAACTGCTGACAAATGCTATTTTTAAAGGAGAAGACATTTAAGTACTTTTCAATTAAGGAACAGGGAATACTTATCAAGTCTTGACAGTGACACTTTAAAAATCTTGGGTTTTGAGTAAGCATTACTGTACTTTGTATAAATATTAACAGACTGTTAGGTTAAGCAACATAAAATTAATCAAAGTTGACCCTGATTTCATGCCCTCTATTAAGGGAAAAAAAACAATACTAACATTTTTATTCTGGTATTTTATGACTTCTGCAAAAAAAGCATTGTGGAAGAATGAAGAAACCAGATAGGGACTTTATTCCCAGAAAAAGGATCTAGCAAGATTATGTATAACACTGCCATCTGGTGATTGTGCAATTATACAGTTAAAGAATGAAAAGCTGGTCCCAACTAAATGGGATACTTCAGTTACCAAGGTTAAGAGATAGCAGAGCTTCCTTCAGAGACCACTGTGACTATTTAAAGTGTTTTTCTGCTCCAATATAGTTTGCTTTCTATAACTGAAGGCATTCTTTCTGTACATCACTGGCTATTTGATCTGTTGCTACAAGATGCAGTATGTTATGAAAACTTTATTCTGAAGACATGGATCACAGAAGAAACTTTCTTCAACCATCCCTAAAACAGAACTACCCGTTTATCTGTCTGTGATGACTGATCAATTAACTCACATGAAGGAAGTAGTGCACATGGATTTGTTGAAGGAATCAATATGAGAAAGTCACACAGGAATTCCATAGAAGTAGGAATCACTATTTTTCTCACAAGAGGAAGAAAACTGAAGTATCTGTACTATTATAGAAGAGAACACAAACAAGTGAAAGAGCAATCTCACTAAGAGACAGCTGTCAGTACTGACTTCTTCACAAAACACTCAAGAAATTCTTAGAAACAGTCTATTCAAACAGTACAAAAGCAGTTTTGCTATACTTCCATTTGTACTGGAAAAAGCAGAGATACGAGGGATATTTTAAAGAAAGCATAAAATACAACATTTTCCTTCTAGGTATTTGCAAACTAAAGCCTTGATTTAAAAAAACCTAAATTTATCCCGGGCAAACAATGGAAGAAAAACATTCCTGCAAAGTTGTGAGGAACATCAGACAGATAGTCAAAATCCTGGAAATAAACTGATTTATTAGTTTTATTACTAAGATTTAAAAAATCAGACAAAGATCACCAATAGTAATGTGATGATGCAGGCTATCTGTTTTCTCATATAATTTCAAGAATTATAAAATCCTGTGCTTATAAATTAGTAGAGAATTAAAGAAATCTGGCATAATTAGCTGACAAACCCAGTGCAAAAGCTACCTCAGAAAATTGTCCAATGTATTTTCCTATGAAGTACCTGAAAGTTTACAATTCAACCACTCGCTAAACTTTACATCAGTAACTTCCAAACAAATTCCAGGAATCTACCTGGCAAATCCTTGGTAAACACAATATCCATCCCACTGTGTTTCTAAAATACATGGGTTTAAAAAGTTTTAGGGACAAGGATTAGTTTTCATAGCCACTGTTTATCAAGGTGCTTTGTATGTGAAAACAGTTTTGAGCCTGCTGCCTTCAAAAGATTCAAGAAGTTTTTGCTTTTGCAACTACTTTTTCCTTATATCACAGTTCTTCAAAAACATTTTGTCAAAAAAACACAGCTGTATTTCCCTACACATTTTTAAAATACATTATTCTTATAATAAAAAAAAAAATTTGTAATCTCCTAGAGTATTGAAGAATCAGTTTGTATTTATTATTTCAGTTTCAAGAATTTAGATAGAGAACACATTTTTATCTGTTTACTACAGTATCCAGAATATTGTCAGCACAATAAAGTAGTAATGAGAAACTGGTTAATTAGGTATAAAAATATTTCTATTAACTTCAGAATTTCTAAAGCCTTTAAAACTGACTACACACAAACATCTGTGGTAATTACATTAGGTCCTGAACAACTTCATTTAACTTCTTAAAAATAAATCTATTGAAATATAGGTACAACTCTGTCAGTAGCACACAGGGTTAGCTTATCTCCTCTAATTAAATTTTTAATTTGCCCTTGAAGTACATACTTTTAGAAATAAAAGTAAATGCTAACCTGGACTAATAAGAGGCCCAGCTTGGAGAAATATGTGTCATGTTCTTTTATGTCATTAATCTGCTTCATCAATTCCAGAAAAATTTCAATAGCTCCTTTGCTGACCATTTTTAAACGGAGTACTTCCTTTTCAGACATGACTTTTATAGCTGCCATGCAATAGACAAGAGCTTCATGGTTTGTTTGTAGGTCTTCATTCCACAGAACCTGCAACAAATAATCTAAAAGGAAAATCATCATTCAGAAAGTTTAATATCAAAATTTATATTTTGTACAATCCAGTCATTAAAGAGATTAGCAACTGAAAAACACCCTCAGATTGAACTCTTACATTTCTAATAAGTGGGCTAGAAAAATTGGATATTTGGACTGAAACCAAGAAACAATTATTGATGAATGAGAGAATGGGCCCGACTTTTGTTCTCCTAGACTTCAAGAACCAATGTAAGCTGTAAACACATAGCAGGAATCATTGAAATTCTCAGTCAAGATTTGCAAAAGTTATTGTGTGTGCCTGGAATTTTGTGTACTTCCCACTACTTCATTAAAAATCAAATGTCTTAAAGCATCTCAAACAGAGCACTAAAAGGCACAGGGGCCTAATTCAGCTCTCACATTTGAAACCTGTTCATAGTCTTTTTAGGTTTCCTTTTCATGTAGGTGAAGTTGACATAGAAGTTTTGTTTTGTGCAACCACTGTCAGACATTTGAAATGTTAAAATTTACAGTTAACACATGGCCAAGGTATCTTTTGCAGTCAAATTGAGACATTCTAAATTTAGTGGGGTATCTTAAACAAATGAGTAATCCTAACCAACATTATACTTTTAAACTTCTAATAACTGATTCAAAGAGATATTTATTTCTCTTTATTTATTTCTCTTTATTTCCTATTCAGTTCCAGTTGAATAAAAACATCTTCCTATATCATTAAACTGAAGAGATTTAAAATTTTTTTTCTGTCTCAACTGAAGCTGTGGGAAATGGTGTGTGTGTATATATATATATATGAATGAAGTACACACTCTAGGTTCTTGTCCAAACTCCCACCCTCACCAATTAAATCACTTGGGTTGTGGCAATGTGAGAACTCAGTTTCAGGTTCCTGCTCTGCACAGTATCAAACAGGGTCTTGAACAGTAGTTCTCTATTCTGGGATGAAGGATTAACTTATTTCTTCTACTGGAGCTGCTGCACTGCACATAAACAGTTCACAAGGACAGAAGAGGAAAAATAAAATAAAAAAATTGAATCTATAACCCAGTGACTGTAACAGGGATCTGGGCAGTTGTGATGATAGGCCAGGGTCATGTCTACTTCTGGGACAAGGTGGGTCCAAAACACAAAGAGTGAATAAATAAATAACACCTACCAACGCTCTTTCCTTCACTAGTTTTTAAAATACAGGGAAAGAAGAGCAAGTGAAAGAAAAGTGAATGAGAATGGAAATGAGAGAAAAATGCAACTTGCTCAAATGCTGTGTATGATGCTGATCTCTACAAAACTGTACTTTTCTGTATCCAAAGTCAATCCTGTTCTGTTTCCTGTGAGTCCTTTCCTTGCCACCTGAAAGGCATGTCTTCATTTCTGACAACAACTGTGTGCTAAACTTTAAGACCATGAACACTCTCAACTATTCAAGCAAATATACACATATGCCTTAACCAATACAGATGCAATAACTGCTTGCAAGATCAAGACCTACATTAATAAAACATACTAAGGTTTTAATGAAAGGAATGACTTTCCATCAATACTGAGTATCATTTGCACACTTTCATTTTCTTAATATTTCTCATATTTTCAAGGGGTGGGTGGGTGTGCATGACACAAACACTGCTAAAAAACACAAAAGATCTTAAGCCATTGCTGACAGTTCTGTAAAACCTTTGGCTCAATGTGAAGCAGCAGCTATAAGAAAATATAAAAAAACCCATGACTATTCTCAAGATCCTCCCTGATGATGGCCAATACCACAGTCAGCATCATCTCATTTCTATAAATTTGGTGCAGACACAGTTTGAATTCTATAGATAGTTTTGATAGTAAAAGGTTTTAAAATCGTAAGATTCAGGGAATTAGAAAGAAGCTAAACTTAGTGGGGCCCTGGAAAAATGTTAAAAATACACTCTGAAAATGTTAGGCTTTGTGTTTGCCAGATCATGTGAAATTGCACCTGCGTAAGCAGTATATGATAAATGATATAATTGTTAGATGTGATGATTGTTTAGTAATTAAATATAATTATTGTTTAATCATAGGAAGAATCATGAGAAACTATATTAGAAGTTTGAGGGGGACCACGAGGAGCCCATGCTTGGATGAAATCTATGTACACAATAGAACAATATAAGTTTAATAATTAACATGAAAGTTATATAACAATAGAATAGAAAAACATGTCCATCCCGAACCCACGTCAGGAGTCAGATTTGGGTTTGTACCCCTGACACCCAGAGCTCTTCAATAAAAGCACCTGCATATAATCATTCTCGTGATGATGTGTTTCTGAACGCTAACATTTTTGTTCCACAAATCTCAAGAAGGATCCACTGGAGTTTGAGAAGGTACAGAGAAGGACTTAAAGAACAACTGAATGACACAATATCTGCTCAAAGAGCTAAGAGGCTCAGATGCCCCAGTCTGGAAAAGGAGAAGACAGAGATATGTCATAAGACCGCCTTTTAAAAAATCCTGAAGGTGAAAGGTAAACTGACTGTACAAACTCTTATATATCCTGCAAAACTACAAGCATGGGGATAAAGAAAAATGTATAGATTTAAAATAGCACACAGAGAATTTCTGGAAATTGTTCTATGACATCATAGAGGCAGACAGAATCAGAAAATCCAAAAAGGCAAATGAATGAACAAAAGACATAGAAACTAAAAAGGGATTAGGCAGGGATGCACCATCCAATGTCCCTAATAGAACAGAAAAGTTCTGGATGCTGTAGTAGTGCTGGGTAAACAGATCACAAAAACCACACAGGCTCCTGTGCTGCCCCTAAACAGCATTCCTCATCCTCATCACTGCTTAGACACAGAATACTGGACTAGACCAACCATCAGTTTGACCTAGGCAGGCAATTTTTAGTCTTTCTTCAGAATTTTTAATTCTCAAAATGTTTTTTCAAAGATAAGCAACTTTAACTGTTGAATTTCAACATCTAACTTACAGATAAGAAAGTATACATACCCAATAATGTATCATTTTGAATGATGAAATAATTGTTTTCATTCCTACAAATTTTAAATGCTAGCTTGCAAACACTAACAAGATTTTTTCCATCTACTTTCATCTGCAAAGAAATTAAAAGACATAAAATCACAACTAAGATCTGCATGCAAAAACACATCTAACATTCTACAAGTTCAGATACCATGGCATACTTGTATTCTCACAGAGCTATTAAATTACAGCTTAAATCCTAACAACACACTAAAACAAACTGAAGATACATGCAGAATTAAAGGAAACTGAAATAACCTGAAACTCAGGTATTTTAAACTCTATTTAGAGAACTGTGCTGGCTTTAAAATAACAGTTTTAAACTTTTAATGTATTAATATAAACAGGTAGTATATCAATAACTTGCAGGATTGTTTTCTACAATTCCCTTACAAAGTAATTCTGTATGGAAATCAGTGGTTTGGCATCTATGGCCCTACCAACAAAGACCTCCAGTACAACAGTACATGTCATACTGAAATTTACTCTCAGCTATTAGAAAACATGATCTTATGATGAGAGATTGTGAAAGGGAAGGAAGGGTGGCAAAAATACAATGACATCTCTCTCCCTTTTCTCTGCACTTCAAGGGCAATTTCTTCTAAGTTCATGCTTTTTGGAAGATTATACAGAAAAATGTCTGTAAAGGAACCTTTCCTTTTAATAAGCACCACTTAACATCTCTGTGGTATCTGAGTATGTAAGTGTATCTTCTCAATAACATAACTTACACTACCTTATAGGAGAACACAACTCCCTCAACACACACACACATTACCCAGATGCCTACAACACAATGTTAGTGGGCATCCTTTCACCAGTGACTGTCCATACATGCTTTGCAGAACAAAGAAGTTCTGAAGCACAACATTTAATTGAGAGTTTTAACCAGAAATATTAATGCAAAAGATTATTTACATTCACTCACCTTCAAAAAAAAACCCTCTACTTTGGTATTTTCAGAACAAGATCAAGATATTATTCAAAAACAAAGCTTCATTTCCATGTGTACATTTTATAATCATTGGGTTTTTTAAATCCCTGCACATGTACCCCAGTTTAGAACACTGTGTCTTTTCCATGCCTATACAATATTCCTGCCACCATACACCAACTATTCTATTTTGTGCTCCTCCTTCCTCCCCCAGATGTAACTTCTCTACAGAAAATAAGCTACAAGTGCTGATGTAGATGGACAGCAGACTAGTATCCCTGAGGTAGCAAACTGTACTTAGGGAAGAGTTAGTTTAGACACAGTTTACAAGTATGAAATGAAAAATTAAATGTAAGTTGTAATTCATGATTTTGAGCTTCACATTTTACCAAAGAGCATTTCAAAACACTTACAGCCAGAATAATCTTTGCCAGCTTCAGGGAAAGTGGATCTGAATCAATGTCTACGAGTTTATATAATGTCTTCAGAAGGATGTTTCTTCTTTTAAATCTTTTTCCAAGCATATTTCCATCACCCAATGCTTGATGGAGCTTGGTACAAGCTAGACAAAGGTGTTCTATATTGTCTTCTCCTTGAAGGGTGTAGGAAAGGAGAGAAAAAAAACTAATTATCAGTGCCACTGTATCCAGAGGATCTCAATACATGAAGACACAGAAGAACAAAATAAATAACAGGTTGCACAACAACAAAAATGAGACATCAAATAAATGTCTTCACATGCTAATGTGATACCCAGAAATAATTTTATTCTGCTTTGTCAAAAAAAGGAGACTCAAGCTGAGAAATCATTTAGCCAAAATAATACCTACAGCTAAAATTAAACTCACCTTTGATGCTTAATAATCAGATTGACCAAATGTCTACCAGGAAACTGTGTCTCTGAGAACATTCTTTAAAGGACTCCACTCAACATTAGCTGTGAAAAAGGGATCATTATGGAGCATTTTTCTCCCCATATACCTAACTTTATATATCAAACCTTGCTGGGATTAAAAAAAGTGCAAGTAAAGACTTGCTAGAACTCTTCAATGTAGAGGTGCAAGACATATTTGAGTGGAATGTTGTCCTACTGACAAAAAAAGTGATCTGCTTCCTCACTCAAGTCCCTGAGACTCTGTTTAAAATATACAAAAATAAAACCAAATCACAAAAACTGCATCTCAACACAATGGAATCATGTACATGTCTACAGAGAAAAGGAGAAGTCTTGTCTATTTTTAAAATTGAACAGTGAGATTTTTTAAAGATTTTCTTACATTTGCCTTTTTCCATAAGGTGACACTTACAAAGCCCCATGTAAATCCACATGAACTGGCAGTATAAACTGCATTTACTCAGGGTGTATTTCACAGCTGAAATAAAGTCATATTCAAGGAGGCAAAGCACTTTTGATGAAACATGTCTGAGGCCCCTACCCTGTAGGCAGATTCAAGGACTGATCTCTCAGGATGAGAAGTGCCTGGAAGCTCTCAATTTGCAATCATCACACTCAAGGAACAGCAATGACTATTCCATTTCTACTCCCATTGTGACAGAAAATTTAACAAAATTTAGCATGATTCTAAATGCTCTGCTCCAGTAAGCTGTTAAACAGGAGTGGCAAGGAACCAAAACTGAAAGGTCTTACACTCCATTTCATCAAAATTAACAACAAAAATTATTCATCACTCATCCCATGGGGAATTTTAAAGCTTAACCTCCTGAGTATTGGAAGGTAACAAAATTAATTATTTGTTCCTCTAGAAAAAGAGACTTTAGGGTTGTTTTTTTTTGTCACATTATAACACAACTCAAGTACATCATACTCAGAAGAATTTAGGCGATAAATAAGTTCCAGGTTAACTCCAGATTTGTTTTTGCATGGAAAGGCTTCTGCAAATACTTTTGCATCAGGAAGGTGAAGAAAAAGGCTTCTCTATTAATATATGAAAAACTAAATGTGACCTAGGTTCATGTGCAGGGAATTAGCTAAAAGGTACAAAGCAAATGACTGCACACAAAATTAAAAAACATTAAATTACCAAGAGACCCACTCAAAGCATCTCAATTATGGAATTCTAACATTCATAAGAATTATGCAGTAAACAGTCCAAAGAAAGCAATATATCACACAGTTGCAGGAGGCAACGATGCAATTCAGTTACAGTTTGTGTTAATATTCAAGAAGTAGCAAACCTCAGGTCTTAAGGTATATGTAGTACTACATTCAATCAGCTGGTGAGAAGGCATCATTAGATAATGTCATCTATTATTAGAAAAGCTAGGCCATAATCAGGTTTTGATAAAAGCTAGAAAAACCCCAATACACTAACCAAATCAAGTGAAGACTGAGGAAAAGGGGCATGAAAACTGATTTTCCTTAGCTACATTCATGACAAGGGAAAAACATGATTAGATTTTACCTCTAAATTTTATTTTGCTTACAAATAAAGAACAGCTCACCATGCAAAACTGTAACCAATGGCTGATATTTGACAATTTTGGCATTAAGCAAGGAAAATGTGAAGTTACATAGCTGTTTTCAAATTTCCTGATCACTGTTGTCTATACATCAGTGACAGACGTGGGAATGAGAATCCTGTCGTTTTTAAACAATAACAAATATTGGGAATCACTTAGCAGTGTACAGCTGTTTCATACTCATGAACATTTGCAAAACTATGCAAAAAAAGTTCTAAGCTGTACCATGCTACCACAAGCATTGCTAAAGATCCTGTAAAACAGAATTACTTGTAAAAACAAATCTACTTTCTATATTCTCATCATTCAAATAAATACAGTATCTACAGAAGGCAACTGAACAACTTTTCCAATGCAAAATGGATTCCAGAGTTTAACCTTTCAAACTATACTTAATTTACTCAATTTTGCTTCAGTATTCTGAGTCATTACATACTTTTCTGGCACATCTAACACTTTAACCACAAGTGGAAATTTTCATTAAGATTTCCTTGGTTTTTTAAAATGGATTGAGACCTTCAATACAGTCTATGGTTAAAGCAGTGAATCTGTGCAGTACTTATTCTTAAAATTATTAGCTCAACATTGACCGCTAAGCTTGCAGAGCTATGTTGTCTAAAATAAGGTAATTTAATCAGACAAGGTTCACACTAAACCAGTTCTGGGGTTTTTTACAGGATCACAGAATGGGTGAAGTTGGAAATGACCTCTGAAAGTCATCTGGTACAACCCCTGTGCTCAAGCAGGGCCACCTAGACTGCCCAGGCCAGTTTTACACGGTGAAGTCACTGAACATATGGAAGCATAAAAGGCCACATACTCCAATTACTGTTGTTATTTTGTAGTAAACAAAAATGAGTCCCATGCTTCCTGCAAGAAACAGTACAGAAAACAGACCCTTTCAGAGCAGTGCTACCCACTTCTTTCCAGTTCACGCAGAATTGGTAGAATCCTTGTATGCCAGAAGAAATCTTCCTCTTCCCATTCATTTATTCTTGTTTCATCCTTTACGCCTTCAAAATACATTCAAAACAAAAGCACACATTCAGTGAAGGTTTCACTTTCTACAATAATAAATAACTACAAATACTTTATTCATTAGTCAGAAAAAAAAATCTAAAAATGTCACATTTTGCTATATTCTGGGTTATTCTATGAATTAAAGATTTTCTTTCTATTTACATGTTCTCAAAAACGAACATTTCAAACAAAACTAGATGGATAAGTGGTTTGATACGTAAAGCTGTGTTATAAAGTTTTGTTTGCTGACATTAATGGTTCATTTGATCACTGAATTGGAAGGTAATGACTACTTAAACATCAAAGTGTCCTACTATTTCTCAGCTCTGTGTTCACGTGACAGCTTATTATTTGTTCCAAAAAAATGCATACTACAGATAATCCTCTAGGATTGCAGTATTTTATCTAGTACATATGCATGATATAACACTAAGCTTGATTAACTGACTGGTCAGTTAGGGAAAAGTCCTGTTAGTTATTACATCCTGTTAGCAATTCTAACTACTTCATGCAATTAGTTTTGCAAACTTCATGACTAAACTTTTATAAAATGTATGTTTATTCCTATTCCTCATTGCATTCAGCAGTTTGTCACACAGCAACCTCTGAAATGAGTAGTAAACTATAGATATGTGAAAGATATTTTGCCTCCAAAAAAACACATCAGAAATCTTGAAGACAACTAACTCCCACTGTTCTTGGCCACCCTCAGCCAAATACCCGTGTGACTCAGAAAAAGCTACTTTCCATTATCAGAAACCTTGTCCACTTCACAAAGGCAGTTTTTAAAAATATTTAAGTTTTTTTTTACTTGGCTTCAAAAGAAAATACAAAAAAAAATTGTATCACAGACATCAAGGCAAAAGTTGGCAGACCTGAAAACCAGTGGACTAGAATTTTTCTGGGAACAAGACTGGGAGCATGGATCTGTTTTCAGATTGGACAAGGAAGATGGTGAAAACACAGTTAATTAAAAAATGGAATCAAGGATTCACTTTCATATGGATGCAGTATCACTGGGAATTATTCTGACATGCTGAACATCCTTTACACCTCCACCTAGTATTTTGTGAAGTGACAAAATTCTGGCCTTGACCATTGGGCCACTACAGATGGAGAGCCAGAGCTTCCGCGAAACTCAAGATGTAAAGGATCTAACAGTTGCTTACAAGGTGCATGTAGGCATGTGTTTGGAGTTCAAGACTGGGTTAAGCTCTTTATCTTGCAGGCAAGCAAAGTTGTTATAAAGACAGGGTCTGGTCTGTTGATTTGTTTTTGCATTGAGGTTTTTTTAATAGGGAAATAAAAGCCACACAACTCTACTAAATAAGAAAGCCATTAAGACTGGATTATACATATTTCTTTAAGTCATGGATTTGTCTGAAAATGTCTCCTGTTGTTCATTACTAGCTCTTGCACTTAAAGGACAATGTGAATTCCTAAGAGAAATATGAAGGAACACAAAAACTACTATACTGCCTGAAAACACCAATAATAAGAGGTTTGCATCACAAGAACAGTATCTCAGACCTTAAAACAGTGACTGCATACTGCCATTACTTGGAACAGTAAAACAATTTAAAACTTCATATTTTAAAAACTTGCTCTTTAGAAAATAGCCTAAAGACTAGTTTTTTGGTCTATATTAACTGTCTACATTTTACACACAATTAATCTATCAAATATACCTATTTCAAAAGATTATAAAAAATGCTGCTATTTCATAAGTAATACACTATATTTGATGCATACATATTTGCATGTTATTAGCAAATATTGTTATTATTTTGCATGGCATTTTTATTTTCTAGATCAAATGAGCTGACCATCTTATTTAAATTGATGAGTGGCCTAATTAATAAAACACTATGCAGTGTTTGCAATGAAGTGAAAATTCTGCTCTGGATAATGTAAAAGTACAGCTGAAATAAGAACACTACAGTAGTGTGCACACTTCTTTCCTGCCACACAACCCACATATTGACTCAATTATTTCTTTTATTTTCTATCTGTAGCTACCTCTCCTAAACTGAAAGATGGAACTGACTTTTTAACTACACATATACTTAACTTCATTAGTCAAGAAATAGAAAACTTTGGGCATGCATTTGCAGATAGAGAAACTTCTCACTTTTAAAAAAAATTACCAAATCCATTTAATTTTCAGTTCAGAATGAAAAGAACAGATGCTTTTTTGTACTGCTCTGCTTCACTTGTCTCATATTCATCAGAAGAATACAGCAAACTGAACGTCATAATGGTATAATTTAAAAAAAGTAATTATGCCTTATATCTAAATAAGGTATACCTTATATCTAAATATAATTATCCCTTATACCTAAATAAAAAAGAAGATAATCAGCTTTTACTAAACAAGTGAGAATGACCAGACAATACACGACTCTAAAGTAAAGTAACATTACTAAATTGTGTCTCAGTCCTGGGAGATTTTTTAAGCTGCTGATGAAAAGTTAGGGTACTAGCTGTATTTAAAATATTGCAGAAGCTGTCCAGAACTTTCTAATAGAGCAAACCACAATTCAACAGAAAAAATACTCAAGTCAAAAAAATGCAGCAAGTTCAAGTTGGTTGTCTCCGTTTTTCATAGGTCTTAACTGCTGCTTTGCATTCTGGTCAAAAAAAATCACTAATCAGTCTACATTTATTGGTTGCTGTTTTTAGCATGTAAATACAAGAGCCTTAGCAACACTGAGCTTTGAAAAGCTGAGTACTGCCTGACTTATAATGTTTAGCCTTTTCACTGAATACTGAGTGGCCACGAATAGATCAATATTAAAACAGTCTACCTCCTCTCTAAAATGTCAAAGCATAAACATAATTCATATCAGAAAATAGAAATAATTTATAAATGAACACTCCACCCAGAATCCCATTGTAGAGAAGAAATGATGGAGAATTCCTGGTGCCATCCCCTTCTTTACTGTGGGATAAAAGATGAAGCATGCACAAACTGAGGAAGCTACATAATGTTAAAAAAGTAGACTTAGAAAGAAACAATCCTAAAAACACACTGTATATTTTCAGTAACATCAATAAAATAGCACAAACAAATTAAAAGGCTTCTAAGTGTACTAACTTGCATGACATGGTAAATACTCTCTGCTCCTCAGAAAGAAATAAGAGCAGAGCACAATACAGCTTTTGCCAGAATGATCTAGAATAATAGAATTTCTCATTTCTAGAATAATAGTAATAAAGCACAATAATTGCACAGTAGAAAGTTCAGGTTTCTATACCAGACTCTCAAATACGCACTTGTGATGTATGAAATGTGCCAGCTATGAGGAAATATTATTAAAGTCTGTTATGTAAAATTAGCAAAATGCATCCCTACAGAGCAATCCAAAATCTGCTTCTTCAGATAATACAGGCTGGCATAATTTTATTAGTTTCTGTGCAACTGTGACAGATTACAAAAAGTGATGGGCAAATAAGGTATTAATGGATTGGCAGATTCTTAAGCCTAGATATGGGAAAAGCAAATAGAAAATACCAAGAGATATTTAAAGTGAAGATCCCTGGAATATTGTTTCTCTTCACTAAGAACAGTAAAACCCAATATATCTAGAAAACCAAAAAATATTGTTCAGTGAAAAATAAAGAACAATACTGGCAAATCCCAAGAACTACATTATTTCTATTTGACTGCATTTCACATTTTTTGAATGGAGATGAAATCCCTTGTACCTGTTACTCTTCTCTTCTGGCCTGAAGTCCTCAGCTGTGATGACTTTTTGCCAGGCTCTTCCATCTGGTCACTACAAGATGCAGTATGAACACACAAAAGCATTATCAGAAAACTGTCTCAAAATGCTTGCTCTTCCACATGCATTGAGTTGTGCATATTAATAGCTAATTGGAAAAGATTATGTTATTTTACTAAGTTAGTAAGTTAGCTGTTCATTAAAAGTTACATGTAAATACAACCTCCTCCCCTATGTATTACAGAAAGCTCCTTCAGAAATACTGACATATTCACACCACAAGAGGTCACCATTATGGAACACAAAAACTAGGCATTTCTGCTTGCTCAATAAAATGAAAGATGAACCAAACTAAATTCAAAAAGAGACAATTTCTATTTTACCATCAGCTTCATTAAATGAATATAAAACTCAACTAGCTTAAAAATGTAAGTTCATCCATTCACAGGACAGTTTCTTTTTCTGACAGGATTAACACTTTTATAATATTTAATGAGAAGATCTTTCAAAGAAACAAACACCTGAGTAACCTTAAAAGTATATATTAGAATCTCTGTGTGTGCCAGTGAATTATTGCTAACTGTGTAGTGATCACTAGTTCTGCCAGTACAATAACAGGTATGTTGCCATTTTATTGTTTTACAAAGTAATGCCATAATTCCTGCTGATTTTATGGTCAGTCCTTCTTTGGACAGAGGAAACTACTACATCTATAATAAATTTATTTATTTATTCTAAATAAATAGTTTGCCTAGCCACATACTCAAGCAGCACTGATCTAAAAGAAATATACAAGATGTAGACTCCCTGCTATCAAACCGGAATCTTTTCTCCTGTTTAATCTTAAAACAAGTCTTAATCTATGTTTTCTATTCTCAATGTATGTTTAATTTAACACTTCTTATTCCATTTAAAGTCCATGTACCAATACAACCTAATCTCCCGAACTCCATTCTAAAGATGACAGTAGTGTGCTAGCAATGTTATTTCATTTTTTTAACCAGGTAATTTAGTTATTCTAAGGCTTAAAACTAAACTGTTGTTTAAGTAGTTTGCTGGATTGGTGCCTAAATTCTGTCTGTCAGTCCAGACAGAAGATATAAGTTAACCTATAAACAGATGGAGACAAAATAAAAGACAAAGCTCTTGCAAGATCAGTTCCCTGCAAAAAGGACTGGATAGCTCACTGTGGTCAGTGAGAAATTTCCCAAGCAATCACATCACAGAGGACCAGTTGCTTCATTACGGCTAAGAATGAACAGTGCTTTATTTTTACAGCATGAGGACTTAAGTGCTCCAAAATCCAAATGCTTACACAAACTACCTTGAAATTAGTTCAGCTCACATATAGCAATTTCTACTCCTCTGGGGAAGCAATACTTTAAAAAGTAAAAAAAGACAAGTGTTTACCTCCCTAAAATTGTCTGACATCTCTATGAAAGAAGGGGCTTAGAGCACGCATTACAGACAGTTCAATCTATTGGTAGAAACAAAAATTTGATTCCATTTCTGTGAATGCCTTGTCCTACAAACTTTAAAAGTTTCAGAAACGTTTCTACAAGTTTCAGCCATCTCTGAAATCAAGACTACAACTTGAAAACATACTAGATAAGCAAGAGAACAATTTCAGTCACCGTACACTAAACATAGCTATATTCAGAAATCAGTACCTTCAGAATTGTGTGTGTAGGCATGATGACAATACATGCCTATATGAATACAGATGTTAGAATTCGCTTTCCTCAGAGAAAGTGTTTTGTAACTATATTCTCTCGGTGCCTCTTCCCTGAAAATGTAAATCCAGGATGAATCCAAGAAACTCAACAAAGACAATCCTATGAGTTTTGTTGGAAGCAAAAGCAAATTAATATAAAAAGCCACTGAAGCAAAGGATGAGTTAACTTACCAGAGAGAAACACCACATGTGTGAGATGTAGAGTAAGACCATGTCAAGAATAAGACCATGTGCATGAGAAGAAGTTGGGCTGGAATCTGTTGTTTTTTAAACACCAGTATCAACACCAGTATCACCAGTTTATAGACTTAAATTAGTAGGAAAGCAAATTGTTCTGTGAATACCAGCAGTAGAAACCTCTATGCTCTTGGGAAACATCCTTGTAAGTCACCCAAACTTCCATTATTTTCAGAAAATGAATACACTGAATACCTATATAATTGGGAATGGTTCATGAGCAGGCTTATCTTTAGGGAATATGTACAATTTAGGAATTCTGTGAGAGATTATGAAATCCCTTTACATGTCTTTACCACTCTGTCAACTTCATTTTAGTTACACAGACTTTTGGTTTGTTATCTTTACATTTTCATTTAGGATTGAAATTTAAATAGAAGTACCTTATTAAGAACAATGCAGTTAAAATATAATCAACCTGTTACAAAAAATAAGTCACCTACTATTGAAAGGAACTGGCTTGTCAAGAGAGTGGTTGCCTTGGAAACAAAGTCAATTGGCAGAAATCTGATCGTCTGATAAGGGCCTCATCAAGAAATCAACTGACAGAGGCTCTGATGATTTACAGAAGAAAAGGAACTTGGCAACTGGATCATTTTTGTCCTTCTCATATAAAAGAAATCATAGTAGCCTCAATGAAGAACACTGCTCTCATGAATGTACACAGAGTGTGAGGACTTCCAAAAAGAAAGTGAGCCAGCACTGGAGCAGTGTGGTGAGGTGGGTTGACCTTGGACAGATGTTAGGTGCCCAATCACACCACTCTTTTCACTCCCTGCCTCAGCAGGACCAAGGGTAGAAACAAGACGGAGAAAAACCCACGGGCCAAGACAAAAACAGCTTAATAAAACAAAAGCAAAGGCCACTTGCGGAAGCAAAGAAAAACAAAAGAGTTATGCTCAACTTCCCACCAAAAGCAATGTCCAGCCATTTTCAAGGAAGTAGGGCTTGAGCATGCAGTGATTGCTCTGGAGGACAAACCTCATAATAATAAATGCCCCCTCACTTCCTTTGTCTTAACTTTCATTGCTGAGCAGACATCATACATTATGGAATCCCTTTTGTCTAGCTGTCCTGGTTATGTCCCCTCAAAACACCTTGCTCACCCCAAGCCTACTTGTGCCAGGCTGAAGTTGGACAGACAGGGCTGATGCTGTGGGGCGCTGCTCAGCAGCAGCCAATTGCTGGTGTGTTACCAACAACCCCCTGCAATGCAAAGCACAGCACTGCGAGGGCTGCTCCAGGAAAAATCAACTCCGTCTCAGCCAGACTCAACACGTGTTCAGTATTTTCCCCTGGTGAAAGAATGGATAATTAAGTGAAAGCTGCATTTATTAAGCAATTCTGCATGTTTAGAAATTTACTTGCTTGTTCTTGCCATGAGCCTCTTGTGAATAGTAAACCTGCAAACTCTCACCCTTCCATGGTATTCCAGGGAAAACTACATTTCTATGAACTATATCCCAGAGGGAAAGAACTGAACTAGTAATCTCCAAAGAAGCCGCACACAACAGCAAGGTTTGAATCACAAATGTGAAAGTAAGGTCCCAATGAAGGAACAGTGCTTGGGCTCCTTCCTGAAACTGCACCTTAAACATCTGAGAATCTGACTACCTCCCTGCCCAAAATTCAGGCATTGGGTCTGAATTTTGTCTCACACTATCCCACAGATTTAGACACTTACCATCACCCCTGCTACAGTTTTGGCCCAGGAAAGGTGATATTTTTCTTGACAGATGCCCGAGCACAGCACAGATAAGCAGACTACCTTATGTGTATTAAAAATAGGGAGGTAATTAAAAATAGTGTCATTGTATTGATATAACCTATGACACTGCTGATAGCCACCAAGTCAGAGACTTACTGCTTTGTTTAATTTTTATTAATTATTGGTAGAGATGTATGGCTGGTACCCCTGATTATTTAGTTACCAGTTAAGAGGGACTTATGGTCTAATACTAACAAGTTAATGCTTCTCTTACAGAATTGTATCTATCAAATACCTGTGGTCAGCAAGGTAGCAAAGCTCAACTAGAACAAAAAGAGAACATGACCATCTTTTCTGAACTGTCCAGCTTCAAGGCATTCCCTCTGACATTACCCTCTCCTCACAGTATCCTGTATCCTCCTCAAAGTATCCTGTAACATCTTATATATCCTAACAGCTTTGCAAGGCAAAACTAGATAACAAAGTGGGAGAAGAAGACAGAAGCACAGTAACTGACATAGTGTAACAAAGAATGAAAAATATACAAGTTACTTTTCAAAGGGAAGAGCAGGAATAAAGGCGAATGAGAAAAAGATGAGGGCAGTGGGGATGGAAAACACCCTAAGAGCCAGTATCTCCTCCTACAGGCACCAAGGCCTCACAGAACTTTCTCATCCAGATGCTATGAGCCTCTCCTTTTGTACCCATGCAAACTGGATCTATGGACTCTCTCCTAAAGTAGAGACAAAACTGGGACTATCCCATGTAAACCAGAACCTGAACAGATTCTTAGAAAGGCAGAGAGCTACTAACACACAGACGGTGCACAGCATGCCCTGAGTAAATGCTGTAAGGAAACCCTAGAATGTAGACACAATCTGATGTCTGGAAACAGATTTCTTTTCCATTTTTAAACATGCCCTTTTTATTAAGCCAAAGAACTATAATTATGGGCACACGATTTCTACACATCTATAACTGCAGAGGCCTTTCTATATCTGTAGAACCACCATTCTTATCTTTAAGTTACTTCCTCAGAAGGAAATCTAAGCACCAGATAGTTTGTTTAACCTTAGAGCCCTTTTATATTTGGTCTTTATTTTCATAAGGTAAACAAATCTTTTTTCTTCCATTTTCCCCTCATAGTCATTCAGTTTCTCCCCGCTGTATTTTCCTTCATTACATCCCCTTCAGCTCCCACAAAATTCCTTTTTCTAGTTTATTTAAAACCCAAAAATGTGGCTGAAATTTTTACAAATTTTATTTTGGATCCATGATATATCAATGTTTTCAGGTCTGCAAAAGTCTAGGAGAGCAATTTCTAACTTTTCACAAAGCTCTAAAAACAGTGCAGGCACTGCAGTAGATGCAGAC